GGCAGCCGTGTTACGTGAAAATGCACAGCTGCCACGACAAATGTAAAAAGGCGGATCACACTTGGAGTGATTTCAACCGCCGGCGACTTTCATTTTATTTGTAACTCATTGTAACACATAATATTTCACCGTACAACCGCCATTGTTCACAAGGGGGCAATTCCCGAATGACTATAGGGCACTGATCTCTATAATATAATCTGATTATATTATAGAGATCAGTGTTATAGGGCCTACATCCAGAATATACTACCACAACAAAATCGTAGCGCAATACATAAATAATCGAATAATGGTGAGCATGGGCGCAAATACCATGGGGACACGGGGGACACGTCCCCCCACTTTTCGAAAAGGGGGGTGACACAATATCAAATGTCCCCCTAGGTTTTTTAACATGTGCTTCTGCATAATTATAAGCCCCTTCTATAATAATAATTATTATTTTGTGCTTGTCTCCGCTAAATGAAAAAATTAGAAAGTATAAAAATTGACTCCCGATTGATAGCCTAAACTGAATACAGGAACCGCGACCGTATACGACTGCTAGGTGCCCTAGGTAGGGGATATTGAAAGTATTAGCTATAGTCTCGAGTTCCAGAATCTTGTCACTCCATATCCGATCCTACAAGCATGCACATGGAATTAAAGTAGACTTGTAATATGTAAAGCTAGTACACGCGCGCTCGCTAGCTCTCCAGTAGCTATTGATATCTGTGGTAGATATGTACATTCGTATATATATATATTATATGTACATATCGAATATATTACGTACTATTATTTAGGTCGTACTGCACGCCTGAAACATTTAGTATGGTCAGGAAATATCTCAACATAGGTTTCTGTAATAAATTCTTATCAGTAGACCTGTGTTTATAGTTAGGAGAGCGCCTTAGCCTGTAGGGTTAAAAACTCATACTTTATTCCCGCCCGCCCTTTCCTTTGTCTCCATCGTCGCACGCTCAGCCTCCTTCTCTTTCCACCGACCCTCGACTGTCTTCCCTGCCACATTCTCTCAGTTTCCTACCCCTCTCTCCCTCAGCAAGTTATATTTACATACTTTTCCTTTGGCCGTACTGCACGTCTGAAACTGTGCTCGAGCATGCGCAATATCTCCGGCCCGAAGGAAGAATATTTACAAAACATTAATTGGGAATTTAAAAATGCAAGTGGCAACCTTACATAGATTTGATAAGCGACAAAATTCTATCAGTAGACCTCCAATTCACAAATAGCAAGGCAGACCTTGCCACAGTAAGGGTCCCCGCCTGCATATACCATTAAGTACATAATCTGGCTACGTTACTGTTTTAGCGCATGCGCAATATCTCACCAGAGAAGTTTTATTTTGTGATTAAAACGCATTTAGTATGGTCAGGGTATATCTCAACATAGGTTTCTGTAATAAATTCTTATCAGTAGACCTGTGTTTATAGTTAGGAGAGCGCCCTAGCATGTAGGGTGCAAAACTCCTACTTTATCCCCGCTCGCCCTTCCCTTTGTCTCCATTGTCGCAGGCTCAGCCTCCTTCTCTTTCCACCGCCCCTCGGCTGTCTTCCCTGCGACCTTCCCTCAGTTTCCCACCCCTCTCTCCTTCAACAAGCTATATTTACGTACTTTTCCGTTGGCCGTATTGCACGTCTGAAACGGTGCGCGCGCATGCGCAATATCTCTCGGAAATAAGAATATTTTGCAAACATTATGAATTTAAAATGTAGAGGGGTTATCCTAGCATAGCTCTATATAATAAAATTTCATCAGTATACTTCACTTCAGAAATAGGAAGCAGACCTTGCATGTAAAGTCCCCGCTGCATATACCATTAAGTATATAACCTGGCTACGTTACTGTTTTAGCACATTAAAAGTCTCCAACATCAAAAAACCCTTTGCAGTTTACGGGTTACAGGGTCAAGACGGTATTCGTTGTGTCTTTCATTTCAGATACAGTGTAAATAAAAGTCTATTACTTTAGATACAGTGTTTACATTAAAGGTAGCAGCCCTCATTTGCACACCTTCCCAATTTTCATAAAGTTTCATTTGTAGATGCCAATTGGATATTTTCTTTGAGTTCTTAAGGCGTCTTCCAGTCTCTTTAAGAAGAGTTTAATTTCACATTTAAATTGTACATTATAACAATAAATCCAATGCTGTGATATGTTTACTTTGATGAGGCCTCATTTTAAGTTACAATGAGCCTAAATCTGTTCGAGACCTCCCACGATGCTTTGCAAATGAGGGCTACTATCTTTAAAGGAAAAGGAATTCCAGTATTTTTTTTTTATCTCAGACTTCAGTATCCATAAAAAGAAACATGTTTCACTCAGTGAATGTATGTAATTCCGGTACATGTGAAAAGTGTCAAGTTTAAATTTTGCTTTGAGATAAATTTACGAGATACATAAAGATATCATAGTTGAAGCTACCATACTTTAACACGTTAAATTCTAAATATATTGTTTGCTCCAGTACACCCCCATCCCCAAAATAATCCCCAAAATATCCCCAAAATGGGGGTAAGTGGGCCACCCCATCCTCAAAATGGATCGAAGCCCCTGATTGGATACAATCAAGTGAATCAACGATATACAAATCAAAAAAGCATTATTTTAAATGGAAAGTTTTGAAAATTCATCGTTGACCTATAGTTTATGGCATGTAAACGATACTTGCAATTAAAATGCGCGAAAATGAACCTTTTAGAGATCAAAAATATGAAAAGTGCTTACCGTTGGACGGGGGATAACCCCTCCCAGCTCTCCCCTCGGCCGCTTCGCTCCCTTGCAGGCTCTTGAACCACATCTGGTCCCACCACTTTTTTAATGATGACTTTACAGTTTACATAGTGTAAATATCCCATTTTGTATGATTCTCGACACAAATGTTAACATTCTATATTATTCAGCCGTTTAGAATCACTCGTTTAAGTACAACAAAAATGTCTAAATATGTTTAAACACATCATACGTGTTTTCTAACATGTAGGATTACATTAATCTTAATTAAATAATGATACAAAACTGAGAATAAATATACCATCGTAATATGAAAATGATTATCGTAAATAAACCCCTCTGAGCCCTCTCTATTAAATTATTCAGCAAGGAAAGCGAATTATGTGCTTAAATTAATATACAATAGCATATACAAGTATAGGCCATTGCAACAACATTTTTATTTGCATGAGGGAAACCTTATTGTCTGCAAATACGTCCAGTTGTGCTCTAAGAAGAACCCAGGGGGCCGTTGTCAAAAACATCGTAAAGTTAATGCTAATGTTAGTGCTAAGATAGCACTTACGACTAATGTTAATGTTACGAGAATAGCGTTGACAGAAACGAATCGCAGCTACAATAATGACGTAACCCAACAAGAGTAATGGAACCCATATATATTTATGTGTCAGTGTGCAGCAGCTAGCGTGCGGTGTACTTGTGTGTTGCAGATGAGCATTTGACCGGCATTTACAGGTGATTATAGGCGAAATAGAGTAGAGAAACATTAAGACTTTGGTAGTAAATACATTTCGTGTTTATTTACTTTTTTTATTTATTGAGACGTTCCAAGCGCCTGTGGGTTACATTGTCATTAAATTGTATCTACGCAACTATGGGAAAACTTACGATAACAGGAACTTGACAGTTTGCTGTCACAAGGCTGCTGATTGGATGAGATTCGATCACAAAATTCCAATTCATACATGATGATGGTTAACCACATATAAAAAATATCTGATGAAAAAAACGACACGCTCACGAATGTATTCTGCACAGAAACACAAGTGTCATGGCCACTGATCTCTATAACATAATTATATTATAGATATATATAATATATAATATGATTATATTATAGAGATCAGTGGTCATGGCTCATCAAAATATCCAAAAACAAAAGAACAAATTAAACGCCACTTGTACACGTTTGTTTTGGCACGCGATCGGTAGATATGTAGTGTTTCTGACGTGTTTTCCATGAAAAGAACACGTTTTACGAATTAATATCAAACCTAATATTACTATAATTGCAATTCTATGTGTAAATGTGTTATTTTCACATTTGTTTTAAAGTTACGAGAGGCCGGAGAGGGGTTAAGATCTCGTAATGTTAAGAGGAAATTTTATGAGATTTTTCGTTTCCGTAATTTTGTGATGTTTCTGTCAACGGTCTACTATACGAGTCAAAGTTAATGGACTAATGTTAAGACTTATAATTATTTCTGAATACGATGACCGCGAACGCATATACGTACAGCGTTGCATATGTAAATTCTATTGACATAGCAGACAGTGGCGGCAGGTGCACTATGTGCTGGTGTATGAGTGTGATATGCCATTTAAAACCTGCCGACAGATATGAAGAACATGTTGAAAAAAAAATTCTGATTTTAAGAGGACAACAGCAGGCTGACGCTAAAAGGGTCTTTAGAACGTGGATCTCTATTGATGGTACGTGCAAATAAAACGGGTTTACAGGTAGCAATTTCCCTTTCACGACTTCCTAAGTGCTCACTACACTAGCCGTTTTCTCTCGCGAAACCGTTTGGCCGATGGAGAGGCGCTAAAGAATATCTCACGCGTGCGATTAAAAAAAGATCCACGCATTTCTGTGCTTTTAACCCCGCGCGCGAATTCATTACGGAAAGCCTTTACACGGGTGACTTAGCATATTCACTATTGCAACGCAGACAGTTGTTCTTTCCACAGATATAGACGCTCTAGACGATGATTTAAGGTCTGATGACAGCGCTGATGTGTGCGCATGGTGTCTCTGATAGTTTAAAAATGTTTATACACTGCTACAGAACATAGCGCGTTTTGGAATTTAAGTGTACGTTTCTTGGCATCAAGTGCATAGACGTAAATAAGTGAACATTATTGTAAAAGGTTTATGGCTGTTTTTGTTATTGGCGTTATTGTGGTTGGTGTTGTTGCTATTGCTCTTGTTGATCGTTCATTACCTATCGTTTCTTTTTATAATAAAATAAACATTAAAAAAGAATTTGCACAATTATGTTACAATATATTTTAGCACTTTACATTATAATCTAATTGGCGTTTGCAATGACGTATAAAAAGAATTCGCGATGACAACAACCTAATAAAATCACCGTGCCATAAAAAAACCCTCGTTGTTTTTTAACATCGTTGTAATATTTTGCGACGTGATCACTGCTGGTCACAAATTTAGAAATTATTATTATTTAAGCATCATATCTAATGGAGTATTTTAATGTCCGTATCCGCCATAGTTGTATCCGAATCCTCTTCCGCCGTACACGTGGCGACGTGCGTAACCTCTGTAGCCGTAGGGAGCACGGTGGCCAGCAAAAGTGCCCTGTCCGCTTGTCAGACCGTATCCTCCATATCCTGCTCCATTACCGTATCCTCCATATCCTGCTCCATGACCGTATCCACCATATCCTGCTGCATGACCGTATCCGCCGTAACCTCCGGCGAGACCGTATCCACCGTATCCGCCATAGCCGCCGTAACCACCATGGCCCCAGTGTTCCGCGGCGGCCAATGCGATTATCTGAAAATCGATACATTGGTCATAAGCAGGGTTTCATTAATATAGTATAATTAAGTCTAGGGCCAGTTTGGCAAGCACGACCATGAAAGGTGAAGCAGATATTTAACTTATTATTAACTTTTATTCACACCACAACTCATTGGTATACTTACTGCAAAGAGTCCCAGAATACAGAGAGCGACCTTCATGATTCTGCAAGAGAAAGGAATGAGATCTATACTGTAATGTGTGTGTGCCCTCGTGCGTCCTTGCGCCTGGCTCGCAAAACTCCTACACCACCGGCCGGACACGCGGCGCGACGGATATAAGTGATATGCATAATACGTGAACGCACACATACGCACATATACACATATTACGCGTATAAGTGAACGTATAATACGGGATGAGTTCAGTAAACGTGAAAAAGTTGGCTGGTCATCGCACTAAGAGAATCATTAGAGAGTAGGCAAGAAGTAACGTTTTGCATCAATAATCACGCATAGCGAAAAGCTGATACTACTGATTCATGTGCTAATAGATACAAGTACAAGTACTGAAAATCTAGACGCTTGCGGGACGGTAGTAGCATGGCCACGTGCCGGTAGGTAGGAAAAATTAAGGCAGGTATAGGTAGCTTGAAAGATCTACAAAAAGAGATCTGATCCCTATTCATCTATATGCCACCTACACAAGTTCGCGAGTCTCTGGCTCTCTGGCTGGTACATCTCTTTCCAAACTACAGCCGAATTACGACCTTATTTGCTTACCATACTAAGTGGGCGCCAAGAATGGATATAGGCCTAATAGTTCTCTACATTAAAGACATTTCCTGTGGTGTTTTTTTTCAGAAAGTAGTTGAATAAGTTTGTCAAAATATCCGAACGTGTCATTCAGCGCATATATACACTAACTCGCGCAACACAATATATATGCTATGCTCAGATATATTAAAAAAAGCGAAAATGGCGTCATACGATACCTTGTGGTTGGACGAGTGCTGACGATAGTCTTCACAGAGCGATCAGAAGCGAGTGGATGATGTAGAGATCTCTACACGTCCTTTTATAGCGATTCTACTGCGTCCGACCCATGGTTACGCGGTGATTGCAACATTTATCGATGCGTACAATGCGTATACAATCGATGCATCAATGCGAACAGTAATTTGCGCGTTCAGTGTCTCGATGAGGCAGCGATCATGATTATCCCAACCTTCTCATCGAATAAATAGCTACATACATATGTTCTCGGGTTCGAATAGTGACTCGCTTGTTCCTGACTAGTCAGAGCATTTGCTGCAGATCTAAATAGAGAGTCAAGTAATCTAACGCGATTTCCCGTCACGGTATAGCGTTCTACCGGACAGACAATGAGCTTGATAAGCGCGAACAATTTACGGCGTTTATGAGTTGGAGCCTCCGATTACGTACACATGATATTGCTGGAAGGACCAAGGTTATCTCAGACTAGCGAACAACGGCTACGTTTTCTGGTACAATTGCACCTGTATATAAATGCGGTTAATTACGTCGTTATATGGAACACTCTCCCTGAACGTAACAGTGGTTGCACTTGGGCAAGTTAAGCAGGGGTTACGCAAACTTGGAATCGGCATACTAGCGAGGGTTGCATTATTAGTAAGAGTTCTCATGTTTTCTGTCTTGTGTGTGTGTTTGGCGTCTTAGTTTAGAAATTTGACGACTCTATCAAACATAAATATCAGGAAAATCCCTAGTTTGGGCAAGGTAGGCAGCGGTTGAACAAACGTGGAATTAGTAGGCTTTTATTACCATGAATTCCATCATGGTATTTTTTCAATGAGCTTGGCACCTTAATTGAAATGCAAATTGAAAATACCTTGATTAAAATAACAACTGATTCGAATAGCTACTTCTATAATGTTAAAGAAACCCTTATATACCCAGTTTGCAATATATAACATATAGCGATGTGTGATATAGGTAGTGTAATATACTGTATAATAGGCTATGTGATATAGTAAAAACACACACGCATGCGCACCATTATTGGAGTAGTTGAGTAACCGACTGATTTCAACATGCCCAATATTGAGATTGGTCAGCCAAACTGGGAAATCCGCAATTTTGGCAGCACGTTCCCAAGATTGTGGAGATTCCATTAAGTTTGGGCTCGACATTCATACTATGAACAAAAATGTTCTTATCTCAACCATAGCAAACAACCTTGAGCCCATTCCCCGTTTAGGACCCCCGGATTTCTAAACTCCCGGTCCCAAACTAGGATGACCCCTAATATTGACAGCTGCTTTAACCGTTTCCCACATTTTATTCACTTCTTTGTCAAAATCGCATCCAGTGAGAATGGTGCAAATAATACACTCTTTCTTGCTCCCACTTCATCTATCATAACATTCACATATTTGTCCGTTTTAGTGAAGAATTGCGCGAGTGAGGGGCTATCATACATCTGTTAGGTTAATTGTTATACGCGGTGCTGCGAATCTTAGAATTAGTTGGATTAAGCTAGACTTATAGCAACAAACTGTGTCATATGAAATATTGCTGCGAGAACATAGTGTGGCCGCGATAGATCGACCACATGCATATACGCACATGCTGACCTAGCTTGAGTCTAAGTGAGGCATTCGTAGGACGCGTGGCTACGCAAGATAGCCTACGAGCCAATTATGAATCTAAACCCTGGTGAAGCTACTCCGAAACTTGCAAACTTGATACATTTTTATATGACGTCTACCACAAGCTGCAGTTCTTCATCTGTACTGGTTTCTGACTGCGCTACGCTCCGAACTTCATTGCGTTATTGCAAGGAAGACAACAATTCGGAACTATAGATCTGTTATATCTGGTAAATGGGTGGCAGCTCATAGGAAGGCTTGATCTACTATTAGCTGTTAGTGAAAACATTAAACCCTGACGCCACCACATTTACTTGCTGATAAGGTTATGTTTGCATTGGTTTAAAAGATCACTCCAGCTACATCATGTCATCTAGCACAGTGCACTTTTTCGAATTATTGTCAATAATAGTTTGCAATTATCTGACGGGAATAACGTCTGTGCTGTCGCTAAGGGACAATCGTATACAAATTGTTATAGTTGTAGAAGCAATAAATGGCAGGATATATGCTAATATACGGCTTTAACAAAATGCATAGACGGTGGTGAATGTAGCATGCGAAGTGGAGATTCAAGATTTGTGCAGAAAAAATATTAAAACAAAAATAAATGTTGCCAAATATGACATCGGCTGGCGCGAGCACCATAATTAATCCCGAATTCCAACCATATTTAAATTACGAGATCGCAACTCTAGAGACCGAAGGACCGATGCTCGGATATACACGACCTAAACAGTGAAATATGTGAATAAAGACTACGCCGTGTATGTTGTGTTGGAGTATAACGAGTTCGTTATAATAATTTATTATGTATCCAGTTTAAGGGCACGTATGTAGTTTATCTATGTGGTTCCATTGCAGTTCCGTAGCCTACGGGACATGAATTCGTGATTCAACTGAGTAATGTCGACAGGACATGTATTTGGTAAAGTTTCAATTACACTGAAATGATAATTTTACTCTATTGTTCATTACAATTATTATTTTATACGTATGTAGATTTATCATGTATATTTGTTTAGTTTTCTTCGCAATCTAGATGGCTAATTTCCTTTTGTCCCTCATAGACTGCTGCAAGTAAGAATATGCCAGCGGGAATTACGACGACGGAAAGTGAACTATGACCGAATGTTTGAGAGTAGATACAAATAACACATGAATGATATGATATAAGTAGGTATAGTTAGTATATATATATATATATCTATATATAATCGCTATATTATATTAGTTTAAATATTAGAGATGGTATAGTATATATATGAGGAGTAGATAATAGGGGAAATATTCCCTATATTCTCTATAAATAGTCGCCATAGTTTCCTAATTTCCAAAAATTCCTATTATCTAACTCCTGATATATATAGAGAACAGCCAGAAGTTATTGGATATAAATTCCCCAGAATAAGGGGGGCAAGCAACATAGAGATTCTTTATCAGTAATTACGCGTAATGACTCATGTTAAAATCTCGGCTAAAGTGAGAGAAACATAAACGTGTACGTTTCATGTTTTGTGCGGCTGATGAAATATATTATTGTTCATGTCAATATATCGGCCAATCGAAGAATGACCAGCCAGCTCCATATTAAGCACTAATTATATTAACATTGCAAATACAACAATTATTGACGTGAACGTGAATTCATTTTATTGATAATTTAGAAGTTTGCAAAGCATTGCGTATACATTTTCATCAAAAGTTCTGAAAGTTTCAGCAGAGAAACGAGAGCTTGCGTATACAGCCATACTGTTTCGTCAGCTCATGACGCCGGCCATGTAAATATCATCCCGTTAAAATATCGCATTAAAAATTACATTTTTACAATAATTATCCACGAAGATGTCTAATCTCCCGTAACCGCCATAGTTGTATCCGAATCCTCTTCCGCCGTTACACCGTGCGACGTGCGAACCTCCTGTAGCCGTAGGGAGCGCGGTGCGCCAGCGAAAGTACCGCTGTCCGCTTGTCAAACCGTATCCTCCATATCCTGCTCCATTACCCGTATCCTCCATATCCTGCCCCATGACCCGTATCCCAAATAACCTCCGCGAGACCGTATCCACCGTATCCGCCATTGCCGCCGTAACCACGCATGGCCGTACTGCGCGGCGGCCAAAGCGATGACCTGAGAATAAATGCACTATAGTCCATAAACGTCGTCGCTGTAATGTATCGGCAACATACGGATGCAGGGCTAGCTGCCACATATAGTATAATATATATTATATATGTGTGTGTGTGTTGTGTGTGTGTGTGGTGTGTGTGTGGTGTGTGTGTGTGTTTGGCCTCGGTGCGTGCGTGCGTGCGTGCGCCGGCGCGCGC